CATTCGGCCTAAAAGTTTGACTTATTCAATTTAAATCCTTGTCGCACATTCACATTATTAGATAATAATTTCCATTCCTTTAACTTCTATATATATAATTATTTGTCCCCTTTTTAAAAAAAAATCAAAATACAGGAATTTACCAGGGAGTTACAAATTCATTGTCTTGATTTGCTTATCTCTTATACCCATAATATCCATTGGTTGTCCATTGGCTAGATAGACTACAACGTGATCTCCAGTAACATAGTTTTTTTTCATTTCATGGTGTGGTATATAGTGGAATAAAGCACCAAAATCAATAATCCAATCATTAATTGGACTTTGTACAACAAGAATAAAAGCATTTTGTACCTCATCTATAGTAGTGTTTGTAGAGTCAGCTTCAGGTTTTTTTGGTTTGGTGCAACTCCTCATGAAATGACCAAGTTTGCCACAATTCCAACATTTAACTTGCTTTCTAAGTCCAAACTTGCTTTTACTTTTGTATCTTGATTTTGATTTGCCTCTAGATAAGCTTCTATCTTGTCTCCTCCCTCGAGTGTTGATGTTGAAGCTGAACCTGAGTCTTGTCTCCTCCCTCGAGTGTTGATGTTGGAGCTGAACCTGAGCTTGAACTTTCACCCGAGTCTTTCCTTTGTACTTTTTCAGCCAAAAACAAATCTCGGGTGTCATCATATATCAGTTTGGATTTTCCAGCTGAGTTGCTCACAGTTGTTCTCATACCTTCCCAACTGCTTAAAAGTGAAGTTAGCAAAATAAGAGCATGAATCTCATCATCAAAGTCAATCTCAATAGAATACAATTGATTTGTGATAGTATTAAAGTTGCTAAGGTGTTGTGTAACAGAGGTGTCTTCGGTCATCTTTAAATTGAACAACTTCTTCATCAAGTACCCTTTATTATTTGCTGAGGGCTTCTCATACATCCTTGACAAAGCTTCCATTAATTTTGTAGTGGATTTTTTTTGTTTGTAATATTATGAGCAACTCTTCTTGATAAGGATAATAGGATAATACCTAAAACCTATCTATCAAGAATTAGTCATTCTTCTTCTTACATATTCTCAGGTTTCTCCCCAACAGAGGAAGATGAAGTTTTTTCCCATATAGATGGTCTTCAATTTGTATTTTTCAATATCCAAAATTTATCCCATCAAAATTTTCAATTCCAGGAGCCTTTATTTTATTTATTATTTTTAATACTTCTTAGATTTAAATATGTCAAATCTGACCTTACGGATGTGTCCAGAATGATAAAAAAATTGGAAACGACACTGAAATCATCCAAATAAGACTTTGGACGGCTCAGATCTTATCAATCAAACTTTTAGATTACTAGATGGTGCAGATGAAACCCCGTGTCAGTTGAAATAGTGTCTGCAGTGCACTGGATCAAAAGCCAATATGCTGATGTGACTATAATGACGTATCAGACACGTAAGCAATACGAGCCTATAAATGATGACGTGGCATATCCATGTGGTTTCTGATCTAACGTGTACTGATGATGTGGTTGATGACTGTGTAGAATTGCTATTATGGATGATAACTGGATGTTGACGTACCGGTCAACCCAGTTCAGTTGCAACTATTTAGGTAAAGAAGGAGCATGTGGCGTGTCGGTGCGCCTGGGCAGTCTTGATGTCAATGCGTGTTAGGGCGTGTGGGCATGAATGACGTCGGTTCTTCACTGATTTTTCACCAGCGGATTCGTCTCATCTTACTCTACACAATGGTATGTTCAAAAACACATTTTGAGTACTTTGATTTTTAAGTTTGGATCAAATACCTTTTTTTTCAAGAACAAGCTCTGATACCAGTTATTGGGACATTCCAGAACTCAAACACACACAAATTTATATGGTTCAACAACTTGCCTATTCCATAGAGCTACTGATTTGTATTAATCAATCAAGAAAACAATGCAAACAAAGAATGAAGAGAAAACTCTTCTCAACTCAACTCTATCCACTTAAGCTCTCTTTATTCTTCTGCTTTTGTTCTCTCTGTTCTCTGTAACTCTCCTTATCTCTTCAACGTGTCTGATTATAGACAAAGCAGGGGGCAAGAAATCATGGCCATAAATCATGGCAAAATATTTGTATCATTTATGCCTCCACTTTATGCTAAGTAAAATATTATGTATTTCTACTAAGCATATATAGTAGAAGTGGAGCATTACTTGTCTCCATGATACTAACAGAACCATCCTTCAAAAAATACCGTAAGAAATTAAGAGTACAAAGAATATGTAAGAAAGCAAACAAAGAATGCAAGAAAGAAGATGAAATTATACGGTGCAAATTAAGAAATTAAGAGAACCTGAGGAGGAGACCGACTCTGCCATGCGGTTCAATGAAGAGGAGCTCAACGAATAAGAAAAAAAGATCTATTAAAGATGGAAAACGAATTCGGCACATCTTCTTGGAATTCTTCTTTAATTTATTGAGGGAATGTTTGGAGATGATGTGGTCGTTTCTTGAAGAGGAAAGGAGAGAATATATGCTCTAATGTTTTAGAGGTTGCAGAGGGAACAATGCTTTAAGGCTTTTAAGTAGTTATTTCTGGTGAATTTTAACTAACTAACTAACTAACCAAACCGCTACCTTCTCCCTCCCTCCCTCCCTCCCTCCCTCTTCCTCTATAAAAGCAAGAAGCCACTCTCACCCTCTTACTTTCTCTCTTCATTTTTCCCGAGAAAAACAAAAGGAAAAGAAAAGAATCTATACAAGAAATCAACCATGCAGAGCTCAAATCCCCCTCAAATTCCAGCAAACGAATTTCTGACTCTCAGACGAACACTTTCCTACCTTTCTGCTGTAGTTCTTTCAATCTGCTTCTCAATCTGCCTCCCTCAATCCCCATTTCATCTTCAGGTACTCACTCTCTCTCACTTTCTTGCATTTTCTTTCACTTTCTTTTCATGCAATTTGAAGGTCAACTTTAGTCACTATTAGAGTGATACAACTTCCTTTCACGTTCTTGCATTCTCTTTCTCTGATCACTTATGGGTTTTGAAGGTCAACTTCAGTTCTTTTGAGGATTGCCATTAGAGGGATACAATTTTCGTTCACTTTCTTGCATTTTCTCTCTGATCATTTATGGGTTTTGAAGGTCAACTTCAGTTCTTTAAGGATTACTATTACAGTGATACAACTTTCATTCACTTTCTTTCTTTGATCGTTTATGGGTTTTGGAGATCAATTCTGGTTCTTTAAATATTATGCCTTTTCTTGCATTGGTTTTTGATATAGGTGCTGGCGCAGCCATTGCGCGATTATCCTCGATATTCTGATGCTGCTGAGCTCCCTCACATTCCGAAGGCTTTCAGGATGGACTATATGAAAATGGAGAGGAGCTTCAAGGTCTTTGTGTACCCACATAAGACCACCGCCTGTGATAAAACAAGGAAGATTGATGGCAAGTATGGGAGTGAAGGATTCTTCTATCAGAATCTCAATCAGAGTAGGTTCTTGACCAGAGATCCTGATAAAGCTAACCTTTTCCTTATTCCCACTTCTTGTCATTCTCTTCCTGCTAAGGTATAACTTTCATGCATGTTGATATGGTTCTTGGAAGTTTGATTGCAACTGATCAAGGAATTTTGAGCGTCTTATAGTGATAACTATACGATCTCAAGGACAGATTGTATAATTAATGAAGGGTCTGATGTTCATATCGTTATGTACAGGGAAGATCGGTGGATGAAAGGGCTATTGCTGTCCAGCATTTTGTCAACAGCCTTATTTCTGAGTATCCTTATTGGAACAGAACTTTAGGTGCTGATCACTTCCTCATAACCTGTGCAGACATTCATGTGACTGCTAGTGAACGAATTTGGAATCTTATGAAGAACTCAATTAGAGTTATGTGCTCTCCAAGTTATAATGTGGAATATGTTCCTCATAAGGATGTTTCTCTCCCACAAAGTGTGCAGCCATTTAATGTTTCTGTCTCACAAATCAGGCCGCCACTTTACGCTTTTATTGCACCAACAACACAGCCATCAACTCTTCCTGCTGCTAAATATAACATGAAGAGCAGGTACCGATACCCTTTATGTCCCTGGACTATACTAGAGCAGGAATATAGTAAAAATTGAGGACTACTTATCGATTTAGCATAACATTTAAAGGGCATGAATATGTTGCAGGGCTATTCTAGGTTTCTGGAGAGGTCTTAAAGAAAATTATATAAGAAAGAGTTTGGTCGATGCCTGGGAGAATGACTCTGAACTTGACATAAAAGGAATCCAAACAGAAGCTAGTACTACGGAAATACGTCGGCTGTACCATAAGAAGTTCTACAGCTCAAAGTTTTGCATCTGTCCTGGAGGCCCTCAGATCGATGGTGCTATAGCAGTTGCAATTCATTATGGATGCGTTCCAGGTGATAGAGCAATTCTTCTCTCATATCTTCTCTTGTATTGTATAATTAAGCCTTTTTTTACAATTTGTTTCCTAAGCAGTCCGTGTACCTTTCTGCAGTTATCATGTCTGATTACTTTGATTTACCATTCAACGACATTCTTGATTGGAAGAAATTCTCTGTAATCCTCAAGGAGAGTGATGTGGATGGACTGAAGCGAATCCTTTTAAACATACCAGATCAAGAATATCAAGCCCTGCAGACCAATACAGTCATGGTACTTCACTTGTGAAATTCACTCCGCAAAATGCCTCTCCTGAGGATTAGTTTCATATATATCGTTTTCCTCGAATGATTCTGAACTGTCTCATTTCCTTAATTGCCTCTACTACTGAATCAGGTCCAGGATCACTTTCAGTGGAATCTACCTCCTGTCAGACTTGATGCATTTCATATGGTTATGTATGAACTTTGGCTCCGCCGTTATGTTACCAAGTATTAGTGAGTTGGTGAAGCTTGATCCATCGGAATCACAGTTGAAAACCAGTCTGGAAGTACCAACCATAAAGATAAATCTTTGCTTGTTTTTGATCCATTCCATTTTTCATGAACATATTTCAATTTTCAAATAGATGTCAGATGAAGCCTTTCTATTCATTTTCCATCTAATGAATTGATGCATTTCCCTCATAATAACACTTCAGCTTTTGTTTTCATATTTGATGTTCGTATCAACAGATGCCCATGAGGCTTGCGCTTCAAAGCATGTATTTAAGCCGAGAAAAAAGCACGCGTATTTGATAAAAAAGAAAGCACAAAACAATGGAAAGAAGTTAATAGGAAAATCAAAGCTCAGCCAATACGTAATTCACAGGGCTGCAATTTTATGGAATATATAAAAGATAATGAATGGAATGTCTGAAGCCTAAAGTAACCTATAAGCAATCTGGCGATGAACTTCAACTGCTTGGTGAACTGAATTATACAATGCCTTATCAAGACACTTCAACTCGCTTTTCTCTTAAGACTCAGTCCTTCATAAATCTCCAGAAGATCCAATTAAGTTCCCGTCGATTTTGACATAAAATAGATAAAAGATAATCACGTCAAGTTAAAATAGGTAAAAATCACGAACCTTAAGCAACAACAATCACGAACCTTCAAGTAAGATCTCTACTCATCCTTCTTACTGTCGTTTTATAAAGAAGAAGGTGACAATAAAAGGAGAAATGCGCAGTTGGTAAATGGCAACTTGAAATTCTGAAAACTTTATGGCAGAGGAACCCTAATATTGTACTAGAGAATTCACCAGGTGAGGAAAATAAATTCAGGGACTGTTTCATGATTTGTTTCTACTTTTTATACTTCTTATTTTTAATTCCCAATGAAGTTAAACTGAGAAATGGGGTTCACGGTTTAGCTTTGGTTTACTCCTAAAACTTTTAAAAAGATTGCCCCAAGTATCGATGGGATTACCTCGAGCAAAAAAAGAAAAAGAAACAGTCTTTAAAAAGCAACCCCAAACGTAGCTGGGAAGAGTAACTCCAAGAGCAACCTAGATCAGATGGCCAAGCAGACAAACAATAGAACATAGAGGGGAAGAAAGAAACAGAGAAATGGAATGAAATCTTCAAGGAAAACCAATGAGTGAGATTAGTGAAAGCCATGTAGAACCTGTCGAGGATACAACTGACCACTGCCATAACTTGACACAAAAGAGTCCTTGGAAGCCCTTCCTGTCACGACCCGAATCCCGGATCCATGACCGGTATATAGGCAAGGTTCCCCTTCAAGGTTCCATACCTATGCGAACCCAAACTTACACACAAACTTATCCTAACTCAATCAGAGTTCAACACAACATTAATAACAAAATCAACTTCATAATATAATTGAATTGTCTTAATACAAGAGTTAATATAATCTCATAGTTTTGGAGCACTAATTAGGCATAAAGGAAAATGTACGAATTACAATCAAAAGAGCAGGTTCTGAAGGTCCAACAAAAGTGACCTGCTATCAAGTTATAAGCCTGAAAATGATAAATAATGAGAGTGTGAGTT